CTTTATTAGCTGTTACTTAGTTTCTAAAAAATAATAGATCAAAAATTACTACTTTTATTCCCAAGGTTTAGTTTTATCAGCAGTAAAGACTTCTCTGTTACATTCATTGTTGTCATCCCTGTACCTATCATCTGTAATTTAACATCTTCATAATATAGGAAATTACTTACATTTTGGCAGATACTGGTAGTTGTGATAGTGTACAATTGCCATATTTTACTTGCAGAGTGAAGAAAAGTGTTGCAACTTTTTTGAAGCCACATGAAAGATCAGTGGCAGAGGCGAGAGTTACATCTTGGATCCTACATTAAAAATATATGAAAGTATATTTATTATAAATAAATATGTGTATATGAAAGCTTATGAACAAATGCATATATTCTATATTTGGAAAATCATCCTTTTTTTACTTTATTGTAGAGTATGAAACAGACACTACTTTTCAGCACTGCAGCTACAGGAAGGACGAAAACTAAATCTCTCTAATTGCTTTTGGGAAAAATTACTAGTCTAGTTCCTGGTTGATGAACACACATAGCTTTTTGGCAAGTGCACATGGTATATTTTTGTCACTGAAGTCTGTAGACTGCAGCAGTCCTTTGCTGTAGTCATGGGAAAGTGCTGTGCTGCGTTATGGCCCTTCCCAAATTCACACAAGTCTGTACCAGTGTTAACGGTGCACGGCTGTGCTTCTGTAAATACAGATTTGGCAGTTGAAGGGGTCGTTCTGCTCAGTGACAGGTTTCATTACTTGTGAATTTCATTCAGGCTCTAACCAGTTCTGCAGGGCAGCAGAAGCAGCGGAGAGTTCGTCGCCCCAAGCCCATCAGCACATTTCCTATGCTGTCATTCTTCCTGTGTCCGAATGTAATTGTCTGAGCTGAGGCATTGTAGTAGTGCCATCTGTGCCTCCCGTGGCCCCTGCCACAAGTGCTCTCCTTTCCTCCCCTTTGCTGTTGCTTGGGATCATAGCTTTGCTTCCTAAGCTAGCTGTTCTTTCTCATAATGTTATCGGCTTGGTGCAGTTTGGCTTGTCTGATTGTCAGCCTGTCACTGTTGCCGAGCTCAATGGCAGTACAGTTGCTGGATGGCAAAACCGTCACCCAGCAGCTGTGCAAACAAACAAGTCAGCATTGATAGTCATCAATAGCTTTGTGCAGTCGTGATGTTGAGATATACTAGAACATGTGCAATCTGTCTGCTTTCTTTGTCCCACGGTATAGCCAGATCAGCTGCTCTGTGCTGGTGAGGGCGTGATTGTCATGCCACGGTGTGCCTTCACCTCCTTCTCTTTTTCCTTTGCTTTTTCTTCCTCTCTGTGGGCTGTCCGGCTGCTCTGTAGTGCATCTGCTGCATGTCCCGTCTGCTCTTCGTGAGAGGCACATACAGTTCTAACAGGCAGTATTGAAGAAGTACAGTGTTGTTCTGGAGGTGACAGGAAACAAATAATTTGTATTATTAATGGCATGTCACTAGGCTCTCTGCTTCTAAAATGCTAAGCAAAGCAAAAAGCACAGAAGAGTAGCTCGTGAACTTGCTGATGAGTTGTTTCAAAATCCTAGATGTACAAATGAATTTTGCCTACTCCACTTACCCCAGATAACTGCTGCTACCTTGTCTTGTAAGCCTGCAAGTTTTTTTTCAGGACATGGTGTGTTTTCCTTAAAACAAAACCCCATCTTTTTCAGAAGTTGTGTTCTTTCCTTTGCAGTGTCAGTGGCAAGGCTCCTTACTCTAGAGGCACAGGTGTGTGATAATATTTATTTACTATTTATGTCTTTCAAGGAAAAAATACCTATTGGCCTTACCTCTTATGTATGTCTGTTGGACAGCTTATGGTGGTGCAGGTGACTTTTCAGAAGATCTTTGTGCCGTGAAGTCATTTCCCGCAGGATCTGGCCTTGTGACATCTCTGCTATCCTATTGAGCAAAGATAAAGGGAGATCTCTCTGGGTGAAGGAAAATGATGATACATGGCATAGGCATGAACAGGCACTAAAACTGTTTTGTTTGTGGAATCACCTCTAGCTTTGGCTCAAAGATTTGTGGAGATAGGTGATTGAAAGTGCAGTTACTAATCACTTACTGTGTATTCACCTTTGTCGGTCATATTAACTGTTGTGTAGCAATTTCACATTTACCATGCTTACTGTGTTGAAACTAACACAACTGTCTTGTGTTACTGCCATTTACAACATGGAGCTGTGATGAAGAACAACAACTTCTATCTCTTAGTATGTTTGCCTGTAGAATTCACTGTAAGCAAGCACTAGGACTCCAAAGTGTGATGAATGTGCACAGGATATTACAGGTCTGGCTAACAGGAATTGTGCATGGAGGGAGATGTGATTCATTTTGGCAGTGTTTGTTTCATAGCCTCAAATTTCTTTTCCTTTAGTAAACCCCTGCTTATTCAAAACCTCACGAAGAGAAACATAAAGGCTGAAAGCCTGATTCAAAGTGGCTGGAGTGTGCCATGTTCAAACAACTGACTTCCATGGAAGAAGTCAAGGACAGACTTGTGTATTTATCTTTCATAGCTTTTACAGGAGCGTGTCTTTCCCCCCTCATCCTCCTTCCCCCCCTTCTCTTTTTTCGTTTCTTCCTTCTTTCCCCTTTTCTCCCTGATGACATTGTAAAGAAGTATATCATTGCACTGTAACTAAGCATCATACAGTTGGTGGAGCCTACAGTGAGTTTAAGGGGGAAAAAAGTTGATTTGGAGTATTTGAGAGAATAGTATTTGCTGTGCTGCAAAACATTGCGCATGGCATGTGCAAAATAACCTAGAGAGTCACAGTGTTCATATTTGATTAGCTGTGATTAGTGGTACAGTGATATTAGCTCTGCATTAATTCTTGTAATTGTGCTTTTCAGCTTCAAAATTTATCAAGTTGATATTTCAGCTCTAGAAATGTTGTGTCAAAGAATTCAGCAAACAGACCAGGGAGCAGGGGATGAGTGCAGCAGTTTATCACCTTTGGAAAGTGTTGTTAGACTGACAACAGTGTGTAACAGATAGGTGAGCTATTCCTGCAAGACCTACCATGGGTTATTGAGTTCAAGGCATCCTCTGAAGGGTCACAACTGTAGTTACAGTTAAGCAGTGTGCTGTATCACCGTCTGGCACTTTATACTGTGTATGCTCATTTTTATTTTAAACTGATCCCTGATGGTTTAACTGGACAGGATTCTTCCCCCCACCATTCCTCCCAGCCTTTTTAATGTGCATTGCGAGTAGGTTCCAGGAATACTGTGTGGATACTTCTATGTGAAAACAGGATGATCGAGTGGGATAGATAATTGAAGGATGAAGCCTTTGTGTGTATCCTTGAAAAATATCCTGAGGCAATTTTCTAATATTCCCTTAATATTCAGCTCTGAAGGTTATTAATTCAGTCTTGACATTTCAGAAAAGTACTCAAACAATAATCAACCTTTTCTTTGCAAAATGCCTCCATGTTTGGAAAAGCTTATATACAGAACTTCTCTGTAACCCAAGAACACTTTTGTGAGAGGAGTAATTGGAATCATAGAGTCACAGAATGGTTTGGGTTGGAAGGAGCCTTACAGATCATCTAGTTCCAACCTCCTGCCACGGGCAGGTACACCTTCCACTAGACCAGGATGCTCCAAGCCCTGTCCAACCTGGCCTTGACACTGCCAGGGATGGGGCAGCCACAGCTTCTCTGGGCAACCTGTGCCAGCGTCTCACCACCCTCCCAGGGAAGACCTTCTTCCTGATGTCTAATCTAGATCTCTCCTCTTTCAGTTTAAAGCCAATCCTCCTTGTCCTGTCACTACATGCCCTTGTAAAAAGTCCTTCTCCAACTTTCTTGTAGGCCCCCTTTAGGTACTGGAAGCTGCTCTAAGGTCTCCCTGGAGCCTTCTCTTCTCCAGGCTGAACAAGCCCAGCTCTCTCAGCCTGTCTTCATAGGAGAGGTGCTCCAGCCCTCTGAGAATCTCTCTGGCCTCCTCTGGACTTGCTTGAGCAGGTCCATGTTGTTCTTATGTTGGGAATCCCAGAGCTGAACGCAGGATTGCAGGTGGAGTCTCATGAGAGGGAAGTAAGAGGGGACTTGAATTATAGTTAAGTTATGCCAATTATATTCATATATGATTTTTGTACATATCTTCTTAAAATATCTGCTGAATTCTTAGCTTTTTCTCGTTTGTGTTTGAACTCAGCTATTACTACTTGGATTCTGCAAACTGGATCAGTGAATGTTTTAGTATGGGTGCCCCATAAATAGGGTACTCCCACAGCAGGTTGTGAATAAAGATGGCAATTATGTACAGAAGCAATTTGTCACTGACTGCTAAAAGACCAGAAGTGAAATGAATGGCTGGCAATACAAGCGTAACTACTGGACATGTTACTTAGGAAATTCTCATAGTTGATATCAGGTCCACGTTTGCCTTACGTAAAATGAACTCCTCTTCATCTCTCACGTGTCACTCATTTCTGATATGAGAGGGAGGATCTGGTCCTTTAAACAGAACAGATCTGCTAGTGAGCCTAGTATTAAGAAGTAATAAAACAGAGGAAATGAAGTGATGCTAAAGGAAAGCAGAAAGCTTAAAGTTAGGCGTATTTTTTTCCTGCATTATTCCTTGTTACCCTTCCTGTTTACTTTGTGACACCGTTAGCTACCATGAACTGTAGCCTCGCATAGGGAGCTGCTTTCTGTCCTGTGGGGCTCACTGAAGTGCTGCTGTAGAGAGATGAGTAGGTGCAGAGTGAGAGGAGCTTGTGTCGTCTTGCTCATTTCCAGGGAATGGAGTTTCACAGGGAATCTTACTGTTTGAGCTGACCTGCTCAAGCAGATGTTTCTTTTACTGCGAGGTTTTGCCATAGCCTTTGAATTCTGGGCAATTGTCTCCAGGAATATTGTATGAGAGGTTTGCTCATTGTAATATTCCTACTTGTGCTAA